CCACAGATGACTTTTTTGTTATGTATTTATTGTCAAAGCATTTAATATATTCATTGCTATCGGGATGTTAAGAGCATTCCATGGAATATAACAAGTGTTTCTGAAGTGAATGACCTACCCCACCTTTAAGTTGAGTATGAAAGGCCTTGTGTTTTAAAAAAATATAATGGAAAAAGGGAAAACTTTAACAAGAGCAAAAAAGCAACAGGATGGATTCCAACTCATCTTAACCAACAGGCACCATAATAACTAAACGTCTAACCACCCAAACACCTGATCCATCCTTCTCCACTAAGAAAAGCTCTTGATTTAGGTCTTTTTATACATTGAATGATTTTGAAATGTAACTGTGGAGTGAGCTGCAGATGCTTCTCTCAAAAAAAGGAAGTGCCTCATCTTAACTAAACCTTCCTAAAGCCTCTTTCTCAGTGATTGTAAGAGGGTCAGAGGTCAGTGAAGTTGAGGCCCACCCACCTTGCCGGGGGAACTGTTCTGCCAGTTTGCGCAGGCTGCTGAGGCTGTCGGCTCCCAGCTGGCTGAGGATGCCGGGGAGCATCTCTGTCAGCTGCTTCGTCTCAGCGTGACCCGTGATGGCGAAGGTGTTGGCGGAAAGAGAGGCCTGCACTTTGGGGTTGTTGAAGTGGATCACTGTCCCGTCATCCTTGATCATGTTCACCTGAGAAAACACCATGCAGTTTTTACATTTACGGCTAAAAGTGTTTGATCTGAGAAGTGAATCTACGTATTTTTGTTTGTTTTTTTGGATGTGTAAACTGTCTGATTGTGAAATAGTAGAACAAACTAATCTATCCTATGTAAATGTTTACAAACTAGTCGACAAAGAATGAGTGTAGACAAACCTGAAATCACTCTTACGGCCACAGAGAAAGAAAAGCTTCACATTCATTGAATAGGTAAGATAACATTCAGGGTTTGTTTATGCTGAAGATCTATACCAATGTACCTCTTCAATTCCAGCAATATTGTTGACAGCCAACTTCTTCAGTGAACTCTGAAGCTTTTTGTCGTCAGCTGTTGCCGTTCTGTGAACCACCTTCTTCTTCCTGCGCGCAGATCCCTAAAACAAAAGTAGAACAAGGACTCCTAAATGACAGACACTTTAAGAGAGCTATAACAACCGCATTAGGTGGAAAAAGGAAAGGTTGTCGCGGAAACATTGCCTTTGTTGTTGCATTATAGTATTTCAAACAAGGCTCTCTCTTCAATTCAAATATGATTCATTCACAATATTATAGACTGCAGCACTTAAGTCCAAAACATTTGGACGTAAGTGCTGCAGTCTATAGTCAGACAGATTTTATTTATAAATCTTTTTATCAGTTTTCGCACAGATATCAAACAGACATTTTCAAGACATTACATGTAAAATACTGTGTTTTCCTAGTACAGTTGACAAATAAACACAAACCCCAATACCCCGCAATCTCATTCACACAAACATACAAGGGGGGGGGCAAGGAAATAAAAACAAAATTAAATAAAAGGGTGAATATTAAATAGTATTTCAAAGAAAAAGGGGGGGGGTGCTCTGCTGAGAATTAAGTATTGGGTTCTTCACCAATAGTAAGGGTGTCAATGTGGTCCAGAAAAGGCTGCCAGGTATCATGGAACGTCGTCAGGGCGCCCCTAAGGGAGAACCTAATCCTCTCAAGCCTGACGCAATACAGGATTTCATGAATCCATCTATTATGGGTGGGAGGGGAGGAATGTATCCATTTAAGGAGAATAAGCCTCCTGGCAAGCAGAGTGGTGAATGCGATAACTCGTTTTGAGGTAATGGGTGCATTGGGCATCAGAGGAATTCCGAAAAGGGCAGTGAGGGGGCTAGGGTCCACAGTCAGACAGATTTTTAGCTGATATGGATATATTTATTTGAGAGTTCAATTTGTTTTAATATTGATACATCTGCTATAAGTGCATAAACATACTCTATCAACTTAATTAAGGGCTCATTAATATCCCTTAAAATGTGTTCAATGCTCTCCAGCGGACAAACTATGTGATGGTGTCACTATCAGAGAAACTAACTTAAATGTATCTTTTACAGATTGTTTTAAATAAAATGTTAGAGAACAGCGTAAATACACCCACATGGATTTCTCAGATTACAAAATAATATCTATAAAATTGCAGTTTGTGTTTGACTATCAGATAAATCCATATGAGCTGAATTTACAGGTGTTCTAAGACGCTTTACAAAGACAAAAAAAAAAGTCAAAATCAAAACAAGTTGACACAACAACATTTATCACTAGGATATTAAAGTTACAGATTAAAGGTTTAATGCAATGATTGTTTCAGTTCTACATAATGCAGGATTCAATATTAATATTATTATTGATTATATCGGAAGTAAGACTCATTTATTTTTGTTTTGAAAATGTAACATGTCACCTCCAGAACATTAATTTTATAAATACAATAAAGACACATTTTTTCATGGAAAGATGCATTGTGATTTTGGTGAGTATAGTTTATTTGACTTAATGAAAAGGAGAGATCACACACACCCACATCCACACACACCTACACACACATCTTATTCTCATCCTCATCAAAACAGAAGATCACTTCCTGGATGGAAAACTCACCTTTCCTCCTATCCGCACTTGGGCTTGAAGTTTTGCTAGTTTTTCTTGATTCATGTTTTCACCTACAGAATAAGAGAATTGCATAAAACATATTGAAAACAAATACTTGTGAAGTGAAACCAGCTAAACAACTAGCATGCTGCTGCGTTTACTGACGACTGAGAGATACAACAACAATATTATGAGCTAACCAGAAATATCCCTGAACAACACAGTACAAATACAGTAACAGAAAGTAATGTTAATTATCAAAATGTAGACCAATAATGAAGCCATAAAGACACATTTTAATGACAGCTCGCTGCCATAATAATAACACACACTAGCTGAGCATGCAGCTGCAGAGATGACAACACAGGGCCACACACTGAACACACACACACTGCACACACAGCTTGTCACGGCTCGGTTCGGCCCGACAGCTCCGCTCCGAACACACACACACAAACACACACTTCATATGGACCCCACTTTACACACACATCAACATTTATGATGCCAAACCTGGTCAAATGTCCACACAGGCATGCGGTTCTGAAAGATGGAGGTTATGAGGAAGAGATTACGTCACGAACCATACGGATTTTCTTCTTCTACGTTTATAAACAGCTGCAGGGATTTGAGTGAAGTGATGCCATCTACATGACATTCTGTGTATTACATCAACAAACGCTGCTGCCATACAAAGAGATGGTGAGAAAGAGATTAAAAGAAAATTGGGGAGAAAAAAAGTTAGAAATTAAAAAAATATTTTTTTGAAATTTCATAATAACACAATTTCCCGATTTTGGATCAACAAAGTACATCTTATTATCTTATACTAACAGAACTACGCCTATATTGCGTACAGCGCCTATAAACTATGGCACACCCCCCCCCCCCCAAATCAAGTTGAACTGCCCCAGCCCCAGTAAAAAACAGAGGTTTATGTGAAATTGTTCTTTTTTTGAAATAATGGTTTTAGTGTGCAATTATAGGTTTTAATTTTGTATTCGCATTCATTTAAAATAAATCAAACTCCCAAAAAACGTACACAGCTTCTGTGTGCTTTTATTAACATTGGAATTTACATTGTAAGCGGCCGCGGGTGGAGAGCTTGAGAGCTCTCTCCTGAAAGACTGAGAGGCTCTGATAACCTCAGCTCAGTGAGGTAAAGGCACACCTTTATATGATCATTATAGTTATAATAAAATAAGAGAATAGGTGAAAAACAGGTATGAAATACTATATGACAGTACAAAAAAGTTGTTATTAATAAACAAGAATACAGTTTGAAAGGGGAGTGATTTATAAAATATCCATAAAGAAAAAGAAAATCTGCTTACAGTTCTGTTTCATCTGGGTGTTGAGAGATGTATCCATAGATCTCCTAATGTTGCTCTCAAAGTGCACCAGATTGATGCTTTTAACTTCAATATTAAAAAAAAAAGTCTTCCCGGGGGAGCATGCCCCCGGACCCCCCTAGAGGAGGTGAGGCCCCCCCCCCGCTACTTAAATCATGTTCAAATGGATAGGAAACTAAATACAATTTCTGTGTTGGTGGTCATGCCATGAGTCATAGTGAGTGTCTGCATTTGGGGGGGGGGGGTGGCGCCAGCTAAAATCTCCCTAAATGATAAAATAGCAAGTGTACTTTACTGATGCGCAATCCTAACATGTATTTGTCCTCTGCTTCACTTTCATGTTCACAGTATCCATTTTGTGACCATTTTACTGTATTTAAATCACAGCTCTCAAAGATGTAAGCACTAAACCACCTAGTTTAAGTATCCTTAATACATAGAATTAATTATAATGAATACAATTGATTGACATTTAACAATTATGATTGATAATAAATGAAAAATATATATATAATAAAATGTTTTTGCTGGTGAATAATAATAAGAAACATTATAAAAAATATTTTTTTAAATATTTAATTTGCTCTAGAATATTTATTTTTTATTTTGACCTTTAAAATAGAATAGGGATGAAACCCTCTTTAATGGTCACACATGCAGAGCACACAGCACACACAGTGAAAGTTGTTCTCTGCTTTTAACCCATCCTAGTACTACAGTAGGAGCAGCTATTGTACAGCACCCGGGGAGCAATGGGAGTGAGGGGGGTGTCTGGGGCCTTGCTCAAGGGCACCACGGCAGGGCAGGAGGTGAACTGGGACCTCTCCAAGTAGAAGTCCACACTCAATATTAAGGTCTGGTCTGGGATTTGAACCAGCGACCCTACGGCTCACAGTCCAAGCCCCTACTGACTGAGCCACTGCCGGACTATTTATCCAATGGTTCACCCAAGAAAAACACTTCATGAAAGATGAACACAAAAGCGCTTGTGCAGAATGTTACATTTACTGTAGAGTAATGTACAGTACATATTAAATACAAGCTGACCACTGATGACCCTGCTCAGTTAGATAATTAAATAATATATATGAATATCAAATCAGTGTGTGCAATTTACATTTAAATATCTCTGATAGATGAAATACAAAATGCTGATGTGCTCAGTTATCTTACATTATTTTTTACATTCTGCTGCAGACATTTGCTTTCCACATTTACCATATGTTCACATTGTAATCCAAGTAATACCTACAATATATAACCTTACCATTAATGTGTGGTCAAAAAACAGAGCCATGTGCACAGGCTGGAGCTGCCAAAGGGACATTTCACCAGCATTATGAACAAATACAACACATTATCCAATAGTATAAGAGCAAGAACAAACAAATTATACTGCGAAAGCAATATTTTTGGAGCACTGTGAATATTTGACAGGTTTTGTTCAGAGCAAACGATGCATTAAACAGCTGAAAGTAAAAAAAACAAGATAAGTCCCACATTACACAATAGAGCACAATACTGCCAGGTCATGGTGACTACACTAAAACTCCAAAGAGAACATGAAAACTAACTTTATACTTGTAGTTTATGTCATAACTTTGACTGTTTGTATTCCAACATAGTTCTGCACGTCTTCACAGCTTCTCACTGCTTTTAATTTCCCCCTCAGATCAAAGCACTGTGACCTGGGTTAAGGCGATGGATTCGATGGCAGTTTCTGGCTGAGGTAACCGACTGAGGAAGCGTGAGTCAGTGGGACCAGCTCCCGAGTTGCTGGTGTCCATCGAGCTGTGGAGGATGCTGCGCTGCCAGCGTTGAAGGTTGAGAGAGTTTAAGCCCCAGCAGCACTGGAACACCATGAAGATCTTCTTCAGAACAGCCTTCCTCAGCAGGATGTAGACCCAGGGGTCCAGGATCTGGTTCCACGTGGCCATACGAACCACCATCAGGAGACTGAGATACGCCGGCTCGTCGTTGGAGTTAATGCTCATCATGATGACACGGATCTGGGAAATAATGTGACAAAGACATAAATAGACTGAACAATGTATCATTTAATTTAAGTCATGTTCTTCTCCAATTCTAAATATAACAAAGACATATGATGCTCATTTTCAGGTTCATATTTGTAATTTGTGCCTCTACTGTAAATTAACGAAGTGCCTTTTTGACTGTTCGCTATGATCCAAATATACAGGAGGTAGCCTAGCATGTTTTTGTTACGGTGTGTGCAGGAAGCAGGACCCAAATGCAGATTTAAGTGTCAAAAATATCTCCTTTATTTCAAAGCTATACTAGAAACAAAGACAGAACGGACCACTCACCGAAGACCAAGTCAAAACACAAGACGAACCGACAAAGACAGACAGAAAAACCAGAACTTAAATACACACAAGACTAATTATACAAACAAGACACAGGTGAGGAGGGAGGAGAAAACACAGGGACACACAATCGGGTAATAAGACACACCAGGGAAACTAACGACAGGGAACCACAGACAGATCTAAAGACAAAACACAACGCAGACAGAAAACCAAAGACAGATCTAGACAAGACAACAACACAGACAGAAACAGGCAAGACAGGAGGTGAAGACCTTTCAAAATAAAACATGAAACAAAAGACAGAAAAAGACAAGACAAAATACAACACAGACAGATCTTGACAGTTTTGAAATACCCTAATGGAGAAATGTAGGCCCATTTCGTTGGTCATATTGTAATTTATGGAGAAAAAAACATGCAGAAAATATGTTAAGTATTTTAGCAGACGAGGAGTATGGAAAGTAATGAGGATGTAAATCACAGTGTACTTTTGCAGCAGGGCTGGGAAGCATGAAGAATGTAGGGAGTGTTATGAAGAGCATGTTTGTAGAGAAGAAGACGCACATCTTTTTCAACCAGGAGCAAACAGTGGTTTTTATGTGGGGAGAATGCAGAGATCTAGACATACAGCAGCATTATTGAAGCGTTTGAGCCTTGATGTGATAAGGTAATGGAGGAGAGCTTCAGTGGCAAAGAATGGACGGATAGGAGGAAGCAGAAAAGCAGCGATGCAGAAAAAATACCTTGAAAAGAACCTTTTCTGAGTCATCTTCGTCACACATAATAAAACCTGCCATGCCTCTGTCACTTCAAAACCCATTTAGCTGTAGCTGTCACTTTACACCTACCAATGTTCAGAATCCTTGACAGACACGCTTGGCCAAAAGGAGATGTGGTTTGAACATTAGAAAAATAATGGCATTGGAATGTAAATGTAATGATAGATGTATAAAAGAAAACTAATTTAGACTAATTACAATGGAATTCCAACCCATTTGCATGGTTTAAGGCTGAAGGTACAGTATTTATAGGTTTATGAGACAGGGTTACTCAAGATGCTATTTATCATCTGTAGTCCCAGGACAAATGTTGCGAAGTCACCTTAAAAACGAATTGAAGAGGCCCTAATATAGGCTTTTTTGAATTTTCCTTTCCATATGTGTAACATAGGTTTTTGTGCTAATGGTCTGCAACGGCTAACATTTTAAAGTTTCCTCCAGAGGGACTCATTTGTGTACTGTACATAGTGACATCACAATGAAACACTTGTGCTTCTATCGGCTAGAGCTCCAACACATTGTAAGTGATAGGCTAAGGGGCAGGACATCTCTAAGCGATTAATCAATCACAACTGAGCCAGCCAGCTAACCAATCAGAGCAGACTGGGCTCTGGTTTCAGACAGAGGGTGAAAAGAGGTGCTGCAGCACAGGCAGTATGAGGAAAATAAAGAGCTTTTTGAACATTAAAACATGGAGACATGTCACAGTAGAGACAGAAATACAAATATGAACCAGAAATGTCTTCTTAAATGTCTACTAAGGAGAAATCTTACCAGTAATGGACCCCAGCACACGCAGGACACCAACATGATGGCCTGCAGCTGGCAGATCATCTCGATGTGGTAGGACGTGCCTCTGCAGTGGTGCTTGCGGCGCAGTCTGGCCTGCAGCAGAGTGCAGCTGGTCAGTGCGTTGCACACGATGGAGAGCAGCAGGGCCATCAGCCCCAGCATGGAGAACAGCAGAGGCAGCAGCACATCCAGCCAGTCTTTGGGTTCCTCCATGTAGAAGAAGCACCAGCTCCTGGAGCTCTGAACCCTGTAGGGTCTCAGCAGAAGCACCGGCAGCAGCGCCACCAGAGCAGCCAGCAGCCAGGTGAGGCCCAGCAGCCGTTTCATGTGGCGTGAGGCTAACGCTGTGGAGTGGAAGATAGGCCTGGTGACTCCGAGGCAGCGCTCCACCGCCATGGCGCTCCCCAGGAACAAGGGGCTCAGTCCGAAGAACACCATGCACGCCCCGAAAGGCGCTGCACACGATGTTGGTGGGGGGTCAAACGTCTCCCATTTCCTTGTGGAAGCTGTACACGATGATAACCAGGGATCCATTGATCAGGTGACCCAGCAGGTCTGTGACCACCAGGCTGCTGGCGAACAGCAGGAAGGACGCCTTGGACTTGATCCGGATGCTGCTGTAGGAGGTGACGAGGATAAAGAGGGCGAGGCTGTTGGAGAGGACTCCCACAGTCATGGAGATGGCGGAGGCGGTGACAGAAAGATCCTTCTGGCTGCAGGTGCTGTTGCTGGGTCTGACCTCTGACCTGCAACCTGCCTCTGAGCTCCCATTGGCTGACATGCTGGAAATTAAATCTGGAGAGGGGGGTAACTGGCAGTTTGGATGCATTTTTCACTTGTAGTATTGGATTTAAACTTCAGATGCTTTAAAAATGCATGCAAATGTATAATTGTGTGAAATAACCCATCATTTCAGCTTTAAATAGGGTGTTTTCAACATTTGACTACACGGCTCACATGCAGTTTTGGCTGTGACTATGGGTGCAGTGAACGCTACTTTATCAATACTGACGATCAGTATAAACATCTTATTTTGTTGAATTTTCACATTCTCATTAGCCAATAACTTTTGTAAATGACACTGTAAATGAAAATCGACCTCACTTACTTACCTTTCTTCAGGTTTGATCTTTTGTTCAAACGCCTCTTCCCCCTCTGTCTCTTTTATCAAAGTCAATAAAGCGTGTAATCAGCCCGGCATTAAATGCCATTGAATCCCGATCCTTCTCTCCTCAATAATCCTGTCGAGGCGGCGATCTGTGCAACTTGTTCCTTCTGCGCTTCGCTGGAGCCAAACCCGTGAAGGCGGACAGCTTCAGTGTGCGAGGTGTCACTTCAAAACTCAATCCCACCTTGGAGGCTGTACACATCTGTCGCATTCTGCACAACACGTCTTTATTTTTGATTCGACAGTGGATAGCCATACAAATTAAGTGTTTCCAAAATACGCACCGCTATTTCTTGCAATTACCCATTATTTTCCTACTCTAAAGTAGGCTACGTGTGGGTGTGAAATTAATCAAGAAGACGTCAATTCCTCGAGGGCTACACATTTCATATTTCTACTTATATTTGAGGCTTTATGTGAATTCTCTTTTGTCAATATAATCCCTATACAGGATTGCAAGAAACAGGTTAATGTCCCTTCATGTCCTAGAAGTACATGATGTGTCTGTGACAGCAGGAAATCACTTGCAGCTGACTGAAAGTCTTATGTTGTGCTTCTCAAAAGGACTGTTGAAGAGTAAGGAATTATTTTGTGCGAAAAGATAAAAACAACAACAAAAAGTACAAAATGTTATCACTTTGATAATTTTTATTTTGTATGTATTCATGACATATTTATTTCCCATCAGTCATGTGTTCTGTCACTTCCTGGATATTTCATTTCGCAGCAACCTTTTAAAATAGAAAAACAGTGGGGAAGAAAATTACTCTTATCCAACGCTGAACTTTTGATGACCATAATGAAAGGCCAAGAAATAATATGTTAGACTAAGGTTCTAAAAATAAAAATCTATTATGTGATGTGAGGAAAACATCTGAGCCAGAATTGGATTAAAGGATGGGGACCGGATTAATCATTGTGCACCTAAGGGCACGCTTTGAATTAGATGCTGTTTTTGTTCCTAGATTTATTTTGTTGTCCAGGGTTTATGCAGTCCCTTTTTCATCGACTATTTTTGTTTTTCCTGATTTTGAATGATTAAGAAAGTCCTCTCATTCAAAGCTGTGATGTGTACGTTGTTCTTCTGAGCGCAGCAGGTGTTGGTGATTTAAAAACTAATATGTTTACTGAATTATCAGATCTACAGCTAATGTATGTACGACTTAATTAGACTAGGATCTTCTACTAATGTAATATGAATTGTATAACAGAGTATAACAATTAACAGTATGTCCAGGATTATTTTAGGTTTTATTATTATTATTTCGGGCACTTTCTTTAGCTCACTGCAAGGAACACTTAGTAAAAAGCAGGCATGGACTCAAACCGACAAAGAAAAACGCCACCAAATAAATGACACATAAAAGGAAACCAAAGTGCTCCAAAAAGGGAAAAATATCAGGGGACAAACAAAAGACCATCTGAACTAAGAGCAGCACAGAGAGTCAGGGAGAACAATTATTGATTTCAAAGAGAGCTGGAAAAGTACGTGGACACTCAATCTGAGCAGGGACCATTCAGCAATTGCTTAAGGATTTCAATAATAAGTCATTGCACAACAGAGGGACTTTGGTATATGTATTTGTAATTGTTGTTAAAAGAGTGTCCTACTTAGCAATGCACTAGCATTATCAGCCAGTTTACCCAGAAAAGGGATCAAAGTCTATGCAGCAGAACCAGACACATTGTCCTTCTTATCCACAATTGTATCTTCCTTGTGTTACGTGCCGTGGTGTGTGTGTGTCTTTCTCTCTCTCCCTCTGATTCCCCAGGTGCAGCTTGATTGTCCCCAGGTGCAGCCTCTCCCCAGGTGCTCCTAATTCCCAATCAGGGCCTCCATATAGGGCCGGAGGAAGACTGCAGTGAGGCCCCCATTTTCCTCCTCTGGCTGCATGCGTACAACCTGTGTTCTGTAGCTCACTAAGAGATGTGCTCCTGGGTATGGGACACTAGTTTAAATGTGCAAGCTAGCTGGTGAGCAGCCCATCCATCCATCTTCTCCCGCTTATCCGTGGTCGGGTTGCGGGGGTAGCAGTTCCAGCAGAGAGCCCCAAACGTTCCTTTCCCTGGCCACATCAACCAGCTCTGACTGGGGGATCCCAAGGCGCTCCCAGGCCAGCGAAGAGATATAATCCCTCCACCTGATCATAGGTCTACCCCTTGGTCTCTTCCCAGCTGGACGTGCCTGGAACACCTCCCTAGGGAGGCGCCCAGGTGGCATCCTAACTAGGTGCCCGAACCACCTCAACTGCACGGGTGAGCAGCCCGTGTTCTTGTTTTTGACTATTAAAAGGCCTGTTCGTGACTCCAGAGAACGGTTTCCTCTTTTTTCTCGTGCCTGATCAACGTTGTGTTTTGTTACTTCCCTTGGTACCCCTAGATTTAGAGGGAACGTAACAATTGTCAAAAATGAATACATTACCCACGCTGCAACTTGACCTCTGACAGTTTGGTTGGATATTGTGCTATGCTAGAGGGGCCTATGTAACCTATAGCCTCTTAGCTTGAGCATACATGAGAAAAAGGGTACAGAAACCTCGCTTCTAGGTAGAAACCCCATAATATCCACAACGTTTACATTTTAAGCCATGCAGCTCCAACGGATGATGACTCGAGTGATCAGATTCTCACACACTAAAAATATCTTTATACAGCTTTTTTCACATGTGCAGTAGGACTCATAACAACTTTGATGTGTAACATTGGTGGAATTACCCTTTAGGTGAATTGAACCATTTTAAATCTCATTGGATCATGGAAAGAAATTGTCTATAAAGAACAAATACAGCTGTTTCTTACGAAGGGAAAGTTGGTTTTCAGTACAATAGATTTTCATATTGCTTGAAAGTTGCCAAACCTCCAAACTCACACGTCTTTTGGCGTCCCTCATTTCTTCACACCATGCATTGAACATTAAGAAAGAAAGCTAAACATTGATTCTGAACATCTGTAAATATTACTCAAGATGTATTTTGTTATATTCTGCTTCCTAACTCTAAATCTCGAAACCGTCCTTCCTGCGTCTTCCCCAGGCTCATGTTGAAGCACACCCTCTTCAGAGGAAAGTATTTTGTTTTTTGTTGGTTTGCATACTCCACATGAGTTCTCATTTGACGTGAATTTGAACAAATTGAACTCATTGCCTTTGAGTCTCCCTTCTGACAACTCATAGCCATCTGTTTGATGTTGTTGTTTACACACACTTAAAGGAATACTTCAGCCACAATTGCAATTTGTTTATGAATAACTTTCCCTGTGACCTAAGATTTTCAATGACATAATTATAGCTAGCTATGTTAGTTTGACAATAAAGAACCTTGAACCTGTGGTACCATGAAGTCTTGAAGACAACATTGTTTTACTTGTGTATCCGTCTATGAACAAATAATATATTAAAAGAGATAAGTCTTAAAGGGTTCATATCTATATATTGTGTCTCTAGTGTGACATGTTATCTGCTTTAATGTTCAAAAAGCTCTTTTTTTTCATACTGCCTGTGCTGCAGCACCTCCTTTCACCCTCTGTCTGAAACCAGAGCCCAGTCTGCTCTGATTGGTTAGCTGGCCAGCTCTGTTGTGATTGGTCAACCGCTTAGAGATGTCCCGCCTTGTATCCCATCACGTACAATGTGTTTGAGCACTAGCCAATAGAAGCGCTAGTGTTACATAGTGATGTCATCATGTTACAGTAAAACTAAGGATAATCTAGGTGTTTCCGGCATAACATCAATTTACAAACTCCCACACATCTCCTGAAGTATTGTTTAATCAAGCAATTTCTTCATTATTTGATTCTTTATACACCTTCAAGGCATGTTAGAAAATGTTTCTTTAAGAGATTGATACTGTGTCTGAGCAGAGAGGAACTGTGAGCTTTCAGATGATGACAGCATGATTATTTTGATGAGGAAGCCAAGTCAATTCAGGAGCGTTAGGTTATTTCCTTTTCAAGAAGGTGTAGTCACACACACACTAAGTTTATCGTGCATGCATTTGGGGTCATCATATTGATTGATATTGTCTCCATTACGTCAGCCTGGTGCCTGGAAAACAACAAAACAGTTCCTGAGAATCAGACATGGTGTCAGGAAACCAGACAACCTCTGGGTCAGCCAAAAGAAAATATTCCTTCATCAAAAACTGTGTGCAAGTAAGCGATATTTCTACCCATTCTCGCAATTATTATTATTATTAAAACCATGACATGAAATAATTATGAGCTCAAAGCCATGAAATTAGTTTCCTGTTTTGCACATGGAAAAGTTATTTTGTTGCTGTCACACTTACTCTTTTCATTTTATCCTTTTTAAACTCAGTGCTGCCATGTATTTATGCAATTTTACAGCATTTCCAACAAATATTATCCCGGGGTATTCATTTTCAAACTTTGAATTTTTAAAGGGTATTTCCTTATAAAAGCTAAATTGAAGTAAAACTTGACAAGATAGTGGAATCGGCGCGTCCAGGTGCGCATAATTTTACGTAATTAATCATATATTTTCGGTTATAAGGAGTAGAAATATGATTCCGATATCCGCGGAATCGCTGGAAGAGTAGCTTTCCAGCGGTATCTCCTGTGAGACTGTAACCAGGGCACAGCAGCCAATATGGCCGCTC